GTAAAATAGCTGTGCTGTCAGACTCTGCATTAAAGGGACACAGAAGTCAAATTTCCCTTTTGCCTATCACCAGCTACTCCCTACTGCCTGAATTTTGGAATGCTTCATCAGTAATTTGGATTGGCTTTTTCATACAGGTCAGATGGTATTTCTCCTCAAGCCTTTTTACATATCCATGTACTTTTTCCACTCCTGTGCAGCGTTTGCATCTATTGCAGGGACAATATTTCAATTTTTACCTTCAAAAGTTCTTTAATAAATTTATTTTTAACAACATAGGGAACAATGGTAATGGAAAATGTATTCAAACACTGAGATGCTATTCTTTAATGTCAACTTACATTTTCTTTTCTTTGGATAAGAATAATGAAATGGCATAGAATTCAAACTGTTTGCCTTTCTTCAGACTCCATATTGTAGCTACCCACACCGATAGATGCCAAATACAATCACTGAATACTGACAACCTCTGCAGAAAACAGACATACAGAAAGAGATTTGGAGGACCAGAATAGTAAAAAGCAGACAACCCAGCATATGTAGTGGTTGTTGGGACCAGAGCCTATTTTTACAGGAAGGAAGGATCAGATACTGTGAAAAACCTCCAACTGCAAGAATATCCCTAGGGTTTAGGACTGGGAAATTAGAAGAAGCTTGATGAACTGCAGGAGGAAGTGCAGGAGGAAGGACTATGGAAACAGGATGAAGAGAGAGCTGCAGTAAGTAATGGGACTACTTCGAAGCTCTAAAATATCCCTAACAATTGTTTATTTAATCTAGAAAATTGCATCAGGCACTCCCCTCTTTGTGCACGAACTGACTCCTTCACAACTTTGAGGGAGGTGGGGGAAAGAATACAAGTTTTACAGTTAACACACGATATCAAGGGGCAGGCAGCCTCGTAAGCACCTTTTCCACCACAGTGCATTTAAACTTTTCTTGCATGCTCAAGAAACAAAGTTCTCAAGGGTTAAATTCTCTCTTTCTCTCCGTTTGTGTGCATGTGCGTGGACATCGTAGTCAGTCAGTCAGTTCCACATCCACCAAAGCAAAGGTAGAATAGCACAGTAAAGTCTTCCTGAAAATCACAGCCTAAAAAAGGACAAGGTGGGCATATGCCAGCACAGGAATATCTGAGTAAATAAATAAAATTCTGCAGCAAACCTCCTTTCATGGTGTCTTTTTTACTATGTGCGCACACATACACATTAGAAGGGAAATAAAACTTTACTTCGGCTTCTATGGTAGTCCTTCCTGACCTTTTACTTTCAAACACTTGTTGCCAAGCTCAATGAAAGACAAAACAAAATCATTTTACATTTTCCTGTCAAGTACCCTCCAGTTCCTCTCCCTGCCCTACTCAAAAAGATATATTTTATGAACTTCAAAATGCTTTATGACATATACTCTACACTGCGCCATTTTCAAGTGCAGATTCAAGAGCAAGCATCTTCATTGCCAAGGCACAATTCGCCTTTTGTCTGGTCTTCTGGCTGCTGTGATGAGTTCAAAAAACCCCAAATCTGTGGAATCCCCTCAACAAGAACAAAACAGAGCGGGAAGGTTTCACTATAGACACTTCCATCTCATAAAAAAAAGAACTTAAGCCTTACACTACCTTATATCATATTTTGAGCCTACACGCAGAACAGCCTCTCTAGGTAAGATAAATACTGCTGACAAAAAAGCATAGGTTAGACTTGCTTCTCTTAAACTCACAGCAAGGGGAATACAAAGCTCCTTGTTTCAGACTAGCTCATATTCCACATTTGCATGCTAGAATGCTTTATAGGCAAACACCTTCGCTGAAGCAAACATTATTCCCACCAGAGCATCTCAACCTCTATCTGAAAAAAAACTTCTATGATTTGCCCTGGAATCCTATCACAGCTCAAAATAATACATGGTTGGGAAAAAAAAAAAAAAGCTATTTCTAGAACAAAAATAAATGAAATCATACATTCTTATTCCACAGAGCAAAAAAAAAAAAAAAAAAAAGTACAGGACAAGCTGTGCAGGATGCCCAGACTTACACATTCAGCACATCAAAACAGACTAGGCAACGGGTGTTTACTTGCTGACATGTTCTCTGCGTTGTAGTAACTTCAGTGACTTGTTTACATACACAAATCAAACACTGGGAAAGAAAGACTGCAATCCAGTTAACCACTGCAAGAATTCACTGCTGATGGCTTAATCCTATCAGTATCCCTCAATAAAACTAGCTTTGTTAAGTAACTTTTTATATTTAAAAATAGTTATAATAAAAGGTATTAACAGATATGCACATGTACACATATAGATTTTATAGATATGTATTACACAAACACACACACACACACACACACTCACACGCACAAAGTTTTCAGTCAACATACAATGCAAACAAAGGGAATTTCATAGCAGTCACTGCCTGACAAATGAAGAAAAGTGATTATTTGTCAAAGCGAACGTGCTCAGGGCTATTTCTTTACTTCTTCCTTACTTTGAATTAGGATTTTTACTCCATGCTGTTCACTCCCCCTTAAAGCAGCAGGAAAAAAGAAAAATGGTGCTCTGTACCTTTTCATAATTGTTATTCTGGAGTGGTACCTTAATTTCTCTCATTTTAATGGGAATTACTGATTAATTGCACACACTCTTAAGATCACATTCATATCAAAGGCACTACTACTGAAACATTTGAAAGTCATTTGTGACCTCCGATGATTATTAAAAATGTAGTAGCTGAGGATTTTCATACTAATTCCCTATTTGTGATTTTTTCAAATGAGCCTCAACTAGTTGGCTATTTCTGTAAAGTTTTTCCATCCTATTCATCCATATGCCAGGGCATTCCAGAGGAAGGGCTCTTTTTGCCTTCTGATCCAGCAGCTAAAGCTAGAGTCTACATTCCTGCCTCTGGCAAAGCTCTTTCTGAAATCCATGGTAATACAGCGAATGGAGTCTGCAGGTTCAGGTCCTTTAAAGCTTCATGGTGCTCGAGACTGAAGCCTTGACATTGCAAAGACTTACGTGCCTGATTAACTTCCGCACTCTACAATAATGTTGGCTTCAAAACCAACTCAAAAAGTACAGAAGCTATGCAGATTGCTTAAATGAAACATGAATCATGATTTCCAACAACTGCAGTTCCACTCTTAGTAGGGCACTATGAAAGTTAAAGAACTGTTTTTCTGTATGCTTATTTTATTTCATATGTTTTATATATATCCACACTGAACACGCAAGACCAAAGAGGTGGGCATCAAGTCCCAACTCTTTGTGTACAGATTTGGTCTGTGAAGTGATAGAAGTCAAAGGCACTTTTCCAGTCCTTCTGGAAAACATGTTGGTGTTACAAGCTAGAGGAACATTATCACCTGCAAAAGACAGCATCACTACTTAAAAACAAGAGAGATGAACAGTTAAAGAAATATCTCATGACACCCCTTTCTGAGGGCACACAAGAATACTTAGGAGCACAACAGCTACAATCCAAAACATCTGCCAATTTTTTGCTATTATTAAAATGTCATTACATCCTGTCTCCAAACCTACAGTACAACTGTATCTTCATTATAGACCTCCTTTCTCAGGGGTGAATTTTCAATGAAGAAAATCCTCCCGGACTGAAATTCAGAGAACTGGGTCTATGCTGGAATGGCAACCACGAACAAATTTTACTTTGGGTATTAGGGGAGAAGACAAAAGAAACGTTTGCTTTCCTCTGCCCTTTTTGTCACAGCAGTGGACTATACAGAATCAGGCTCACAATGAAGTATTGTTAAGTACCATCTGCTCGCTTGCTGATGCTCCATTGTCTTTTGAAGTGGCAGGTTTCCAGGGCAGCAGTGAAACTCCTGTTGCCTTAATCCCTTTCTGTTTGAAATAAAAATTAGAGTAGCTGGACAGCTGGACTAGCTAGCTGTGCTATGCACTAGCTGTGCCATCCACTATAAATCACTGGATGGTTAACATTCTTTTCCTTGACTTTTTCATCCAAAAGTACCACCACGTTGTCTAAAACAGTAAATTTAAAAGGGCTTTCTTGCCTTCTATTTACCCTACCTTCAGAATAGAAACTTGACACTGGATTAAACAGCACATCCCACATCAAAATGCTAAAGATTTTATCATACTGTTATCTTCGCATATTGGATGTACTACTTCCCAGACCCTTTTACAAAGAATAACAGAAGGTGTTCCACCCCTTTGGGCTGTGGAATTGCTTTTGGCTACGGCAACGCATTATTACCTACTTGAGAAATATAAAATATTGAGAAAAACTGTCTTCCAGTACACCTCTGTGTTGGGAAGTACGTGGGTTTTCCCACAATCTATTGCCAAAAACTATCAAAACTAATGTTCATATACAAAAAAAGTCTGTTTAGGACTAATAAATCAGTTACTCTACTGTAGTTAATCACAATCATCCCTGTGAAGTTTATTAAATTTGAAATCCATCACAGAGACAAAATAATAGTCTAATGAAGGCAATCATAAAGTTCTTTTCAAAAGTTCTGTATCTCAGAGGAAAAATCAATCCTTTCACTTCTAAAATTTGCAACTCATGTGCAATTTTATGAACTAAAATAGGAGCTCTTTCCTTACAGAGTGAACCCACAAGGAGCACAGTTCATAGGTCAAGTCTCACCCTCTCCTCTGCCTCAGCAAGACCACTGTCTCTCGAATCAGCCTACACAACTAAAACTTCATTATGAATTCTACTGGCACTTGAGCCAAAAAATAAATCAGTTCTTTGGCCCTCAAAATGTGACGTTTCTTCAATCTCAGATTAAAAAAAAGAATAAACTCACATTTTTCATTTGTGACAGTGCATGCAATTTGTGGCACAAGGAATAAATCTGTCCAGAACAGAAGTAAATGATTTATTTTCTTTCAACTTCTTTACAGCAAAGCCAAATCAGAAAGACTACTGTGAAGCTCCACAGATTTCATTTGAAGAGAATGGATTTTTTTAAAGCTGAGGAAAAAAAAAATCCTACAGTAATATTTACCTTTGCATGTGTATGTAATATTTTCCCACTCACGATCTATTGTGCATTCTGAAAAATTCCTGTCTCCATGGAAATAATATCCTTCTTTACACTGATAGTACACTCTGCTCCACAGAGTGGTAGAGTTGTCCCAGACCATTTCTGTGTGTGGAATCAACAAAGGTTTGCCACAATCTATTTCTGGAGGAGAGAAAACAGGATAATAATACCTAAAAATAGAAACAAGCAAGGCATGTCACAGGATTTAAAGAGGAGATGAGAATTGTCCCAGCAAACAGCACTCCACCTTTTTGCACTTCCTAATGATTTCTAGAAGTCAGGTCAGCCATTCAGAACCTGGAATTTCACGCCTGCAGAGTTTCGAACAGAGCAGGGAATGCATTCCTCAAGATGCATCATAAAATAAGAGAGTCCTGCTTAGAACTGGAGAACAAAGATCTCCAAGCAAATTTTAATAGATGGCTTTACCTTCCCCGACACTTTCGTCTCCCACATGATTTTTTTTTTTTTAATTTTTTTTACTTAGCAACAATAGAGGTCAGAGCATCTCCCCAGAAGACGTAATTTAGCACAATCTTACGGCTGACCTACGAAAGTTCAGTCATCCTCAAGGCACTGAGGCCAGCCACCATCTCCCTCACAGGAACTGAAACAGGCTCTGTAGAAACTTTCAATCAACTTTCTGGAGAGCAAGCGATTCCCTTACATCTAGGGAATCTTCAGATGTGAGATGCAGGCAGTTTCTCCTCCCTGCAACCCATGAAGGAGCCCACCCAAAAAAAGCGTGAATGAGAGTGAAGATAATGGGATAGAAAATTACTCTGTTCTGGATAACAGGGGAGGGATTTTGCACTCCAGTTCATACACTACTTTCATGCACAGAAACATCTAAAAAATGATGCATGCTCCAAGGAGTGACATGGAAGAACAGCATCAAGAGCGTTGTGTTCGACTGCGGGTAGGTTTAATTCACGCCTTGAAAAAAGGAGGAGCTTGCTTCAGACAAGGGGAAAGAGCACTTCTGAGGGGAATCTGACTGGTTATTCAGGTCTCTCTAGAAATAACCAGAAAACTGGGGTAACGTACTTTGAAACTGATCCATTTACTTCGTTGTTTTCAAGGCTTCACAATAAAATTAGGGAACTAAAAGAATTAAGAGAGAAGATCTAATCCATTGAAGGATATTTTGGGTTAAAATTCTCTCTCAAATCCACAGTGAATCTCACACTCCAGTCAAGGCTTCTGCATTGCTTCGCTTATAGGACTTAAACAACGTAAAAATTCACATCTTACCTTCACCAAAGCTTACATGCAGAAAACAAGTGTTTTTTTAAATTGTTCAATGAATGATCGTAAATGATTCTGAGACTCCATTCAGAAAAAAAAGTGAAATATAGAATTAAAAAATAAAACACGTAGAATCATAACCTTATAATTTACATTATTACCTTTAAAGCAAAAGGTAATCATATACTTTGCAATGTGGAACATCCACTATAATGACAACCTTTCTTTTCAGACATCTTTTCAGGTTCCATTTCTAAGTAGTGGCTTAAGCCACAGAGTAGGTGTTGGGCTAGAAGAAAGCAGTGATTTAGGCTGGATTTCCATCTCACGGAAATCCTAATGCCAAACATGCCAAAAATGCTGAAGATGTAGCCTTTTATCTTTAGAATCTGTTAACATTTAAGAATCTGTTGCAACTGCATTAGCAACACAGATAAAAAACTATTTAATATATGGCTTTTGCTTTGTGACTTCATATGCCAGAAGATGGTATAAACTGAGTGCCCAAACAGGATGTCGCCAGCTTATGACTGCATAACCATTATTTATAATGATGTCCGAAACAGTACCTATGCCAAATAAATCTGAAGGCAGACTGGATTTACCTTTGCACACCAAATCAGTACCATCCCACTCTCCTTTGGCATTGCAAACTGCAGTTTGATTGCCACTTGCAATAAAGTAACCATGAACACAATTGTAAGTAACTTCACTTCCATATGTGGTTCCACTTAAGGATGGTGGATGTGCATTTACGATAGAAGGTGGAACTCCACAATCCACACCTACACAGGGGAAAAAAGAAGAAAATAAATTGTTATTTAAGTAAAAAAAGTGAGGAAGGCTGCACTCCAATGAAACTATTTCTTTTACCATTATCGACTAACCATCTCCTGCGGTAACTGAATTCGCCTCCATATCCTCTATGACACTCCCACTGCGAGACTGACAACAGCGCTCTGGCTAGTTCAGAACTATGGTCAGATCCTTCCAAATACAGTAAGTTCTGCCTGCCTTTTCTTCACTATGGTATACTAAATTTATGTCTTTGTCCTCAGTCTAGCTGTTAAAATACCTGAAATGTCCTAGTTTTTAATTAAGATTCTCCTTCTTTTAAAAACATGATTAAAGTTGGCCAGTTGGTTCTAAAGCATTGGGGGAGAGGAAGGGTCAGACCAAGGCAGACAGATAAGCAAAAACTAACTTTAGGAAAGCAAAAAAAAAAAAAAAAAAAAAGAAAAAACACCCACCTCAGAAGGACCAGATAAATGCAAAACCATAAAAAATGTTGCAACATGCAACAAAAAACCCTTCCTCTTAAAGCAAGACTCTACCCGCTGTTCAAAACACGCTGTAATATCTAAGTTGTTTTATATACAAAAAGCCTCCAGGCTAAATCAGAATTTGCAAAATAAGTGTAGTAGCATAAACAAGTAGTTTGTTTTTGACAGGATGTACATTTTTTTCGAGTGAGCATCTACCTACCTGCTTTCATAACAGCATGATAAAAAATCCACATTCAACAGTTTAACTACAACTCTGCACACACATGACATCTTTCCAGAGAACGAACTACCTGAGATTTCAGCTCAAGACAATTCTGCTCATTAACAGTCAAAGAAAACTGTATTCTTTGAAAGTATATTACATCCACACTCATATACTTAAATTAGAAAAAAACGGACCTGTTCCATTTACAATATCTTGATGTCAGGCCAAATATCCTACCAAATTTGATCTAATTTGATCTGTCAGTTTCATCATGAATAAAATAAATGTATAAATTATCACAGGAAGTGACACAAATTCTGATTTGGAACATTCTTGATTTTCCTGAACAAGAAAGAATTACACTTGGCCAGGAGAAATTCTTAGATTAGCTAGAATAAAAAGAATCACCAAGGAAATTGTGAGACTTTAAAAGAATTTTTGTAAGGCTTCCTTACGGAAGAGAAGGCTACTCGGACTTGCTGGTTTTACAAAAAGAGAAGAAGTCTTCACTGAAATCCAGGAAAAGAAACTTGCAATATAAAGAGGAAATAGTTTGCCATTTCAACCTCATGAGCTGTTTTTTAGGGTTTGAGTCTTTTTATTCCAGTTAATCACTGGAGATCTGCTCAAAACTCCAATCTGACCTACTGTTGGACTGTGGAAATTAAAAAATCATGTGTCAAAACATCATTAAAAATATTACTAAAAAAATGTACTGACAATTCACAAGGGCTGTTGTCCACATGCTTTCATTAGTGGACGTTTTGAGGCTTTGAGCGCTTTCCTTTTGTTTTCAAATTCATTTTTGCTTTATTTTATTTATTTTGGGGAGAAAAGTGTTTTTGTAATCGCCTTATCTTCCATGCCATTGCATTTTAAATTTATATATAACTACCGCCAGTAATTTCATAGTAAATTGTCTGGTCCTTTCCTTCTTAAGAATTTTCAGGTAATGTTGAATACTTCACTTTTTCCAGTAACACTGCTTTAGCATCCTTATTCTTATTTTTATATACACACACAAACATCTATCCACTGTCAAAAAAAAAAAAACAGGAAAGAATTAGAAATAGAAGATTGTATGTATTTGGAGGTAAAGAGTCTCTGCATTAACACATTATTTTCAGGACTGCAATCTTCTTCTTCCATACAGTGTTGTTAAACACATAGTGGTTTATGTCACCTAGCACTTTTTGTCATTTAACTAACACACAGACTTTCTAACTACTCACAGGAACAGAAAATACTGCAGTAATAGTTCAGCAGAATGGGTGAGCACAACACCAAAGCAAGTGGAAGTTTTAATGAAGCTCATGAGAAGCATTCAGAGATCTTCTGAAAGTGCTTGATCATGTGCAGGTGCTCTTAAAGTCAGGAAAGCTACCTAGCTTTTGTAACTGCAGACAACTCTAGGAAAAAACTTCATATGCTCCAGAAAACTGAGTCTTTCCCTGTAAGGTCATGTATTTCATTATATCCTAAGAAATACTTCAGAAATCTTAACGTTTTCTAAGCCTCAGCTCACAGACCCAAGAACACATTGCTCTTTCTGCAGAAATGAAAGGACAAGCATCTAAACTGACATTAGAGTAACAAGAGGTGGCATAACTTTATTATATATTTCCTAGAAAATAAGCCTTTTCCCTCTAAGAGTTTTGCAAAGATAATCTTGACAGAAAATAGTAATTCATTGTTCATGTAGTGAAGGGCATGTTATTCTGAAGCAGCTTCAAATCAGAAGTATCAACAAAATGTTTATATATCAAATAATCTGTCTTTTTCTTTTTTTCTTTTCTTTGTTTTTTTTTTTTTTTCTCTAAGAGCCAGAACCTTTAGAATGAGCTTTTGGATGGAGGAACCAGACTACTTTCTTTCACAAAAACACTTCAGAGAATCACAGTACAGCTCGGTTAGAAGGCACCTTTAAAGATCACCTAGTCAAACCCCCCTGCTCAAGCAATGTCACCTTTTGCCCAGGACCTTTTGCAGACGGCTTTTGACTATCTCCAACAATGGAAACTCCACAACCCCTCTGGGCAACCTGCTGCAGCGCTCAGTCACCCTCACAGGAAAAAAGTTTTTCCTTAGTTTCAGATAGAATTTCCCCTGTTTCAATTTGTGCCCTTTGTCTCTCGTCCTGCCACACTGAAAAGAGTCTAGACCCAACCTCTTTACACCGTCCCTTCAGATATTTATACGCGTTGATCAGATCCCTCCTTAGTCTTCTCTTCTCCAGGCGGAACAGGCCCAGCTCTCTCCGCCTTTCCTCAGAGGAGAGATGCTCTAATCCCTTCATCATCTCACTGGCTCCTTCGCTGCATTTACCCCAGGAGCGCCACATCTCTGTCATCCTGGGGAGCCCAGCACGTGGCACAGTACTCCAGGGGAGGCCTCAGCAGGGCTGAGCAGAGGGGCAGGATCACTTTCCTCCGCCTGCTGGCAATGCTCTGCCTAAGGCAGCCCAGGCTACCCTTGGCCCTCCTGGCCACAAGGGCACATTCCTGCCTCATGGTCCGCTTGGCGTCCACCAGGACTCTCAGGTTCTCCGTGGAGCCGCTTTCCAGCGGCTCGGCCCCCCGCCCGTCCTGGTGCCTGGGGGGTATTCCTCCCCAGGGG